TAGAGTGATCTTTTAATTCCTCGGACAATCCTCGATGGAACTGGTGAATGAGATATTCCAGATCCCAGGACATTTGGGAGCCAAGGAGCAGAATTCAGCAACATACTCCTGCAGGGGGCGGTTTCCCTGTGTGAGGATGGAAAGGCGGTGAGCAGCAAGGGTAGAGCTGACCAAAGGCGGCTTGTAATGCGGCCTGGAATCTGCCATCTCGGGGGCATTCCGGATGAGGAGAGCAGTGGCCCAGTCCAGGGCTCAACCAGAGAGGTAAGAAACCATATACCCAATTCTTTCATGGTCAGAGGGGAAGCAGTCAGTGGGGAGTTGGAAGGCCATCCAATACTGGGTCAGGACACTTGGTGGAGTCACCATCAGATTTATCCAAAGTGGGGAGGGGTAGAGAACTGACTGGTGCCACAGTGGCTTGAGGTGGTATGGTGGATGTGGTCGGCTGGGAAGCTGGGTGATGGGTAACATGGGTGACTAGTTGTTGGACAGCCGCTGTTAAATCCCCTAGCGTTTTGGGAGTGTTACCGGAATATGGTGAAAGAATCATTTTGACCTGCAGGGTTCATGTTTCAGGCTCAGTATTCTGTAAGAACGGTGTTATTTACGAACTCTGTGCAGGTCTCCAGGCGAGGTCTGAAAGCTGAGGTATCCAAGGCTGGTTACTAGGTAGAGATGTCGGTTATTCCAGGCAGGGTCAAGTCCAGGAAATAGGCACAAAGAGAGGCAAACAAATCCAATAGGGGTGAGACAAGAGAGTGAAATCCAAAACCAAGTTGATGTTGAAGGAGTCCAAATGAGGTATTAAAGGTTTTTAGGAAGAAAGGGCGAGGTGAGCTCAGGAGGCAGAAGAGATCCTAATACCAAGCGATGTTACAGGGTGAACTGAGGGTTTATATAGTGAAAGAAGGGGTCTGTAAGGGAAATTGGATAATGAGAGGTTAATTGAGGCCAGCTGCAGCCATAACAGTACCCCCCACCCAGTACGGGCAGATCCTGAAGCCCATGATGGACGGTCTGGGAAGGCCCGATGAAAGTCCCAGAGAAGGAAGGGAAGTGTATAATTGGATAAGGAAAGGAAGGAAGGGAAATTGGATAATGAGGGGTTAATTGAGGCCAGCTGCAGCCAACAATAATGGCTCATAGATATAATCCAGTACAAACAGAATGTACTCCCTTACTGTTGTCATTAGCCAACAATGACCTGGATTCTCCGAGCAGAGGTGCACAACTTGCCAGTTAGGATTGGCAAATTGTGCACTGCTGCTGAGAGATGCTTGGACCGTTTATACCGCTTTTACTGCTTGCCCAGCTAGTATTGGGTGGTCTTAAATTTGGCAGGACGTGCTTGGCTTGCAGTATTCTCCTAGGTTTTATTGTGAGGGTCCAATAGGTGCTGACTCCTGTAAGGTGCTGTAGAGTTCTCAGTGTTTTCAGATGATCAATCATTCTAACAGGCACATGTTTTGAAGGGGTATGCTCACAGTTCTTCAATCTCCATATGTAGAATATGGATTGCAACATCAAGTAAAATTAACAATTATCTCTCAAATGGATGAATGATCATTTTTTTAGTTTAAATGCTGTTTAAATCCTGTTGCATTCGAGATTTATGTATTTTAAAATTATTTTTCTTTTGTATTTTTGTAAACTTTTTGTTATTACTAAATAATCAAAATATTAGTGTCACAGACTGGAAAGGTGTGTGACACCAGGTGTCAAGAGCTGTATGGATGTGAAGTGCCTTGATGGGCCAGTGACACCTTGTTGTTGATTCAATTTGATGCCCTATTCTTGGAGTTCCTGCCCTAATCAAAAGCCCTCTTAACACAGACACTAGACAATTATAATACTAGTTCAGGTGGGTAGCTGCTTCAGCATGCGTAGGCTGCAAAGGAACAAGTAATACAGTAAGTTTATTCCACGTTGAAAAGAGTAGAAAGAAAACACAGCGTTTCGGCTGTAAAGCCTTCTTTGGGTGTAAGCAATTATTATACTATGGAATGGACAATGTGTGGGGTTGGCAAACTGGTTTGACGGGACCGGTCATCTTGTGATTGAAAGTAAGACCTGAGTACAGGAACTCATCAAACAATACATCAGCACCCTTGTCTTATTTGGGTTTGGGCAGCAACTCCCTGGAGAAAAGACCAAAGCTTCCTCCCCCTGAGGGAAGAGCAAGGAGTCCTTTGTTACAAGGGGATTAAAACCCAAAGTCAGGATAGATAGGGGATCTTTTAGGAGAAGAGTTTTTTGGAGGAGGAAAGGATGCCGACACCATGAATTTTAGAGTGGGCAGCTGAGGAAGGCTCCAGCATCATTGCCCCCCCACCACACATTGGATTTGATATCAAGGTAGCAGGGTGGCCTGACTGGAGCTGGTTTCCAAGAAAAATGCTGTGGAACTGGTTACCTGGTTTGGTGAATGAACTGTGTTTTCTGTAATCATAGACTGAAATAAATGGGACATTATGAATGATAATTGTTTGATATATGGATGTAGTGGTGATTCTGAGAAATGAAAAGAACATGTGGCAAGTTAAATAGGGGCCTGGGACCCTTTATAATAGCTAAGTGGCATACTCTTACACTAGACAGGAATAATTCTTGTTAGAGGGGTCACCCTAACCTTTGTTTTTTTCAGGCTATGTATTTCTTGAATATGCCAATGTACTGTACAGTAGCATACATTTGAAATACTACTATACGTGCAAATTCCCAGATTGCAATTACACTGAGCTCTTACCAGATTACATAAAAATGAATAGGTAAAGTTGCAACGTTAAATAACACAAAACTGGTTGGGCTATGGTTAACTTTAATCCCCCAAACTATGTTTCAACAAAGGTGTTTTACTCAACACAGTATGGCACCAAGATGTTTGAAAGTTTATATTTGCTGCTTTCTTCTCTGTTACTCAGATAAAAGGCTTTAAACCACCAGAGAACTTTCTTTTCTTGTGTGGTTTTGTTCTTTTTGTTCCTGCCTGGTCTGGAAACATCCACTACAAAGGTCGTAAAGAGATACTACATTAGTTGTGATACTCCTGTTGGGTTAACTGACAGCCTCAGCATGATGAATTGGATGATAGGATTTAAGCCCCAGGACATTCCTTCTCCAGGTCAGAAGTAAAGACAGGTGAGATCAGATATCCTTATTTTTATATTAAAGATCGAAGAATGATTTTAACCCGAATATGTCTTCCTTTTGCAGTGCTACTGTGTCTGTCTGACCTGATTGCCATTTTTAAATAGAATATATATATGTCTATATAGATATAGATGGCTCAAGACAAAACTGTTCTGTGAAATGGGTGGTTTAGTATCTTATCACTTGAGTAATTAAATTTCCACTAGGAAGAACTTGCACAATTAAGTTGCTATCCAAATCTGAAAAGAAAATTTTATGGTACAAATCACACAGACTTAGATCAGTGTGATTTGTGATTATCCAGCAGCCATATCACCCTGCAACTCACAACTGACAACCTATTGAAGCTAAGCAGGTGTGAGCCTGGTCAGTACCTGGATAGGAGACCTCCTGGGGAAATCTAAGGTTACTGCTGGAAGAGGTGTTAGTGGGGCCAGCAGGGGGCGCTCACCCTGCAGTCCACGTGGGTCCTAATGCTCCAGTATAGTGACATGGACACTATACTGTAAACAGGCACCGTCCTTCAGTCAAACTGAAGTCCTGACTCTCTTTGGTCATTAAAAATCCCAGCGCGTTTTTCATAAAGAGTAGGGGTGTAACCCCGGCGTCCTGGCCAAATTTCCCATTGGCCCTTACCAATCATTGCCTCCTAATAATCCCCATCAATGAATTGGCTTAATCACTCTGCTCTCCTCCCCACCAATAGATGATGTGTGGTGAGTGTTATGGCGCACTATGGCTGCTGTCCCATCATCCAGGTGGATGCTGCACATTGGTGGTGGTGGAGGGGAGTCCCCATTACCTGTAAAGTGTTTTGAGTGGAATGTCCAGAAAAGCGCAATATACATGTAAGCAATTATTATAATTATAATCAGTGGCTTTTTTTCTTACCTCTCATAAAGGAATTCTTCTATTCATCCCTAATAAATATGTTTTTAGTTTCTTGTACTTTTTTATAGTTTTTGTTTGTGATTCATTTTCCCCCAAATGTGTTAAATAAGTCATGTCTGCTACTCAGCTTTGATGAACCTTTCTCTACTCTTGAGCCCTTACTTATATGGAGACTTGCTGTTTTATCTACAGTAAGTCTGCAATTGTAATGTATTTGAATTTTATAATATTGAAAAATGAATTCAAGAAGTTGCATTATAAGAAACTGTTATCATAATAACTAAGAATAATTAAAACAGCGCTAATATAATTTTAAAAAGATGAATCTGATATTCAACCTTATGGAAATGTGACTGTGATGTTATATATGTGAAGATGATGCAGAAATCTCAATCACTTCAGCTTCACTAAAACAGTAAGAAGAAGTTTACAGCATGATTTTTCATTCAGAATGTCAGTAAATATAGGAAGGAATTAAATTTTGTAAGACTGTGTATTAAATAAGAAATAGATATTCCTATATATATATGTATTTATACAATAAATAGATATATTTATTGATTATATAATCCCAAGTGGCAATTTGAACCATTGTCAGAAATTCCCACTTCTAATTGACTTATCTATTGACAACAAATTCATACTCTCTTTTACACTCTATTATCTATTTGACATTTAAGGTGTGATACTGAAAAAGCATTAGTCATCTCCACTTTCATTCTTGTTTGTGCTTAATGCTTTTGAACTATATGTAAAGTTACTGTGCATTCATAATGTGCTTTGTGCAAGTGATAAAGTATGGTATGAGACTTGTTTAGAGGTGATTGAAAAGATAGGTGAAAAACACATGGAAGAGATACTTAAAATTGTATATCAAAAGAACTTCTGATAACATGATGAATGATTGAGCAATGCCTTATCCATGTTTGTGTTTTGCAAAAAAAGGAAATACATACAAGACTTTTAAGTTGAAGAGGCCTGTGAAGACCTTTCCAGGGATGTGCCTCAGGTTATTACCAGACAGTCGCCTGTAAGAGAGATAAAAATATGATGAGGTGCTGAGTCATTGATTAGGAGTTTTACCCACAAAAAGTTAATTTTCTATCCACTAGTCTGTTTGTTTTCCAGAGATGCATATCCTCTTTTAAATTGGTTTTCAATAACTCTCGTTCCTCTTGCAGCTCTGCGGCCGATAAATGTTGTTTTTGGATTGAAAGGAAGGTGATGAAAGAAGTTCCCCAGAGTTCAACACCACATTTTCCTCCTTTTCTTAAAGAAATGGTGTGGTACAGTGCATGTTTTTTTGCTCTTATGCCTGCTTAGAAGCTTTCACCAGGCATAAAGCTAAGCATTATAAAGCAAAAGGAATACTGAGGAAACAAAATAACAATAACTACTCCATGAGGACAAAGGACACTTTTATCCTTGCAGAGATTCACCCTTTCTGAACTAGAGCTGTTACACACACAAGCTAACATACTGAAGGAGGTTAGAATCTTAATTAAAAACTCATTGCTGAAAAGGCTCATTGCTGGTGCTCTGTAATTGTTGATAGTCATAGAAGGACTGATTCCATGCTTCTATTTCATTTTCTTTGTACTTCTAGGTACTGTATATATACAAGGGAATCAAAGTTTTTTTTTATACATTTGTTAGAGTGCAAGGAGCTTATCCAGGACACCACTGCTCTGTTTCAAAGTAGTGTTTTAACATTGCTAAATCTTTGCCTTACAGCCAAGGTTTGTTCTGTATCTCACTGAGCAGCTCTGACAGTTCCAATTGCAAGACTACGATTTTGGAGGGAGATGGATAAAACTAAATCTAACATTTCTCCAATAACCCATTTTCACTAATCTGAGGGGCAGGAACTGTTTTTTGGCTAGTGTTATATGGCCTAAATGAAGACCACCATTGCTGAAGAACACATTATTCTCCTTCTGCTCTTATGCAAACATATATCATCGACATGAAAGTTGTCAAAATGTTTCTTAATTTCTCTAAATGCTCAAAAAACTTTGCGAATTGAACAGTTTATTTTAGGCCTTCTAATTGGTTTGGGGAGACATGCTGGCTATGACAGCTCTGGTCAAAGCAAAAGAGCATTGCCACAAAGATGAAAGTAGCTCCAATGAGAAGTGCCTGGAACCTCAGAAGAAAAAATAATTATGCAGTCAAGCAAAATTAGATACTGTACTAGATACTGCTAATGCTCCCAGATAATAGTTCATAGTCTTTTGTGATAAAGTAGCAATATAAGGTTTTGTTAGATATCAAAAGCAGAGGGCATTTATTTAGTTAGAGTGACTTTCCATGGGTACTGGGCAGACATAGTGAGTAAAAATCATTTGTGAATTTGTGAGTTCATCCTAAAAACTCGAATGTGCGGAAAGACACTGATGATCACAAAAGTACAATTCTAGCTATGTAACTGGCCAATGGAAATATTTTACAGAATCCTCTAAACAGATGTTATATTGTCTTTTCTAGTATTACACATCAATGCATATCTTTTAAGACTTATTTTTTTTTAGTTCTTACTTAAGAAAGATATATTAATGTCTGTGTCAATTGCACAAACACAGATCAAAACAAATTAAATTTTTCTGACACAACAATTTGTATTAGCTTTGAATCACAGTGATTCAAAACTAATACAAATGATAAATATTATATTAACTATTAATTATAATTAAAATTATATTCATTCGGTGAGGTGCCCTGGCAGCTGTATGATGCAGTGGTGGCCTGGCACGGTGAGGTGCGCTGGCAGGTGGGTGATGCAGTGGTGGCCTGGCACCGTGAGGTGCGCTGGCAGCTGTGTG